AAATCTTCCTTAGTGGATTACCCCATCCTCCAGTGATTTATGCTCAGATGCTTTCTGAGCCAGAGCTGCTGTCTCTGTCCTGGAAGATGAAATGTTTTGCACATCTCAAAGGTGAGAAACATGCATGTGTTGACTGCGGTTTCTTGTGTGCAGTGAGTCTCACGGAGCAAGAAGCCCCAGAGTGCTACTAAATATACGTTACGCTGTTGATGCAAAACACAGCCAGGACCTGATGTAGCACCTAGTAATGGTTGGTGAGCCCTAGCAGAACAGGATAGGTCACAGACAGTTGAGAACATCTACTTTGGATGGGCTTTGCTCAACTGAAAGCTACAGGACAGCTAAGAAACCTAATGCATTGAAAGAGCTTGTCTCTCACCAATGTGTTCTTGAATATTGCTCATCCTTGGCATCACAGCTACGTTTGACCCTTTATAAATGCTTGAAAATTGCTGGATGTGATAAATTGCTTAAGTTCTGCTGTTCAAACTAATGTTTCTATTTCTAAAATTGCTCACCACAAATATTAGCAGAAAACAAACCCTGACACCGTGCATGTCTTTTTCAGCTGAGTAATTTTTTATTATTATTATTTGAATGATTATTTGAGATACAGGTTAGCCTGCTCCAGTCCTGCACCAGTGTGGGACAACAACAAAGGGCTCACAGGTAACCTGCTGCCTCTTTAGATAAAGCAGTGCAATTATGAATGCTACATTCAAGAGATGTAGCATTCATTCAAGAGGTGATACTTCCATCACAGCCAAGTCACCACAAAAGACGACAGAACTAGGAATCTTCTGAGCTGAGCCAAGTATAAAACCAGCAAACTCTGAAGGCCTGACAACAGGATGAAAATGTGCATTCAGTTGCAGAGAGGCAATGTCACAGGGAGAAATTTCATAAATTGTCTGCTGAGTGCTGATTTCTGATCTTCAGTTTAAGGAGGCAACCCCTCCACAGGCCATGAGAGCTCAGAAGAGACAAGTGAAGCTCAGAACTGGGGCTGGATGCAGTGGCCAGTGCCAGAAGAGCCTTCCCTGGGCAGGGCAGAGAGCCAGGAGAAGGTGAGGGAGGGGAGAAAATGGATGTCCTCCTCTCCTCCTTCCTGATACGGGGCTGACACAGACCATTATTGCTGAGAAGGATCCAGGCTCCTGAGGTGACAGGCCAGACCTTCAGGAGAGGCATTCAGCACCCAGTTTTCCCTCTACAAGTGTGAATTCACGTCTATGGATGCACTTTGCCGGTTGAGGCTTTGTGCTTGGCATTTGACAGTCATTTAAGGGTGAAGTTCTCTTCAGCTCAGCCTCAGCCCCGTCACTTAGGCCATATGCCAAAAGCCAAGAAAAAAAAAGCACGCCCCATGCAGGCAGCTTAAAAAGTCCCAGGGATGTCCTTCCTGAGGCTCACTCATGGGTGCTAAGCATGGGAAACAGACTTGGAGCGGAGCAGGAAGGGTGGAGGCAAGGGAAGAGGTCACGAGAAAGAAATATTGGGAACCATGTGTCTACAGAATAGCTCTTCTACCACTTCCTTCCTGCCCTACACCGTTGCGGGCTGCTTGCTGGTGAGACAGGTACCTCTGAGGGAAGCATACCTTCACACAATGCGTGGTGAACAGCAGGCACAGACAGTGCAGAAAGGAGACTATTCAGACAAACAGAGGGTCAAGAGAAGTATGCAAAGCCCAGGGGGAGGGGAGCGCACCTTCAACCACTCTTGAAGGTTTTTCTCCTAAGGCATGAGGGGTAGACAGCCGCTGGGTAACCGAGATGGCGTGCGACTCTGCCACATCCCTGCCTCGGCTGTGGCCATCTCCCTTACGTGTGAGCTGTATTCACCTGCTGCGCTTCACCTTAGAAGGGGAGGTCTCCAAGACCAGTCTGTGGTGTGCAGGTGTACAGCAGCTTTCACATCGGTCAGATGGTTCTGATTCGAGGACAAGCCCTTGTATGTCACGTTCCACGTGAGATGTGGGCAGAGAACTGCTGCCAAGCCTGAAACCAAGCACTGTTTTTATCCCCTCTACACAGCAATTCGGTAGGTGGCCCAGAGAAGACCCCACCTCATTCACCAAGGGTGGCGGATGCCCAAAGGCAGCAAAATCTCAAGTCACCACCAGCTCTTATCGCAACCATTGTTTTTCTAAGTTAACACCAGCTATCAGTACACTTTCACTGCTAGGAAAGAAGGGAAGTAACTTTACACCCTCTCACACAGAAACCTCACGGCAGCCCTGCTGAGTACTGTGCCGTCTTCCCCTCCCACAGCAGTGAGGATCCTCTTCTCCAGTCATTCTTAAGATGGGACATTTGAAACTAAAGGAAACTTCAGTTCCCCCTTGAGAGGGCCTGAACATCCCCACCGGACCCCAGATGGTTCCATTCTCAGATGTGGCCCTCTGGCAAGAGATTTTAGCCCAACTAGCACAGCGACCGTTGCCTGCTAACCCTCACGAACATGTCAGCGTGCGAGCAGAGTATGGTTTGCCACAGGGGGAAGTGGAAGGTAGTCGCAGAGTGCGGTCGCACCCTCCGGTGCACTTCTTACACACACACAGAGCATTTTCTCAGTTCCTCTGCCTATGGAGGCCCCTTCCAAACGTCCTCACCCCAGGGAACAGCTTACACTGCTGCCAGGGATGGGGACAGCAGGTACTGATGCTTCTGCTCTGTCTGCTCACTTGCCAGGACGTCTTCACTCAGAAGCTGCTGTCATTGAGCAGGCTCTGACTGCGCTGGGGTATTTGCCGGAAATGAACACCTCTTGGCATGGGCTGGGAGAACCTCTCTTGGTGTTTATGGCTGTGGCTATCACAGCACTACTGTGAGGTTCTCGCAGGCTAAGGCAACCCAAGTCCGTTTTCTCATACCACTCTCATCATCTGGTAATTAAACTAAGTCAAGGGACCTGATTGCCCTTCAAGCTCTAGGGATCTTGCATGGAAGGTGCTCTGTTATGCATTCAGGGTGGAGCTGCTTACACCAACTCAGGGACTGCTCTTGCCCACATGGAGCGGAAGAAAGGTCACCACCAGCTTGTTCACCCTTCCAGAGATTCAGGAGACAATCCCACAGCACTGTGAGCAGACTCTTTCC